TAAATGACTAATTTTAGGCTAATTAATTACCCTATTTTCGAATTTTTTGCTCAACGTTTGAAAAAAAAATACAAGACAGTTTGTCGAAATACGCGTCATTCACTGTACATTATGTATTGCTATCAAGAGCATATTTTATGACGATTTTCCAAGACAAAGTGTTCGTATTGATTGTAAGCTTGATAACTATCCCATTTTGGAATTTTTTGCTCCTTATTTTTTCAAACAAACCTGTCGCTATGCTGGCTTCTTTAGTATATGCTTGAAGCTAGCAAAGCCACAGATCTCTTTTGAAAAATATGCAGAAAACAATTTCAAAATGGGATAGTTATTGAGCCTACAATCAATATACTAACATTTTGTCTTGAAAAATAATCATGAAATATGCGTCTGATAGAAATGCATGATGTATAGTGAATAATTTCGACGAATCGTTTCGTGTTTTCGTGAAAAATATATCATTTTCAAAAATGGCTCTACTGAGTTCGCTCGGAGCCAGCAAAGCCACAGGTTTCTTTTAAACAGAAAGCATCAAAATCCCGAAATCGGATATTGAGCTTATATACAATAATTACTAACACTTTGCTTTATGAAATCGTCATAAAATAATTATGCTTTTGATAGAAAAATCCATGATGTATAGTGAATAACGCGTATATCGACGAATCTTTTCGTGTTTTCCGAGGTGTTTTCTTTGTTCGAAAAGTTGAGCAAACACTTCGAGAATAGGGTAATCAATTAGCCTTAAATAAGCACTACTTTTTGACTATATCAGATCATCAGACAATTTTGTTTTTCAAAAATGGCTCTGCTGAGTTTGCCCCTCGGTTTGCCCTAAGCTAGCAAACCCACAGGTTTCTTTTAAAAAATATGCAACAAAAAATTCCATAATGGGGTGTTTATTGAGCTTACAATCTATTCCACTTTACCTTATAAAATCGTCATAAAATATACTTTTGATAGAAATGCATGATGTATAGTGAATAACGCATATATCGACGAATCGTTTCGTGTTTTTTTTGTTCGAAACGTTGAACAGACAATTCGAAAAAAGGGTAATTAATTAGCCTTTAATTAGCCTTCCAATACCTATATATCAAATCGGTGAAAAATATAATATTTTTAAAAATGGCTCTGCTGAGTTCGCCCGAAGCCAGCAAAGCCACAGGTTTGTTTTAAAAAATAAGCAGCAAAAAAATTCCAAAATGCAATAGTTATTGAGCTTATAATCAATACTAACACTTTGTCTTGAAAGATAGTCATAAAATATGCTTTTGATAGAAATACATAATGAATAGTGTATGACGCGTATTTCGACAAATTGTCTTGTATGTTTTCTGTTTGAAACGTTGAGCAAAAAATTCGAAGATAGGGTAATTAATTAGCCTAAAATTAGCTCTTCGAAAATGATTTATGAAATCTGTGAAAAATATATTATTTTAAAAAATGGCTCTGCTGAGTTCGCCCGAAGCCAGCAAAGCCACAGGTTTCTTTTAAAAAATATGCAGCAAAAAATTTCAAAATGCAATAGTTATTGAGCTTATAATCAATACTAACACTTTGTCTTGAAAAATCGTCATAAAATATGCTTTTGATAGATATGCATGATGTATAGTGAATAAATGCGTATTTCGACGAATTGTCTTGTATTTTTTCTGTTTGAAACGTTGAGCAAAAAATTCGAAAATAGGGTAAGTAATTAGCCTAAAATTAGCTCTTCGAAATCGATATATCAAATCTGTGAAAAATATATTATTTTTAAAAATGGCTCTGCTGAGTTCGCCCGAAGCCAGCAAAGCCACAGGTTTGTTTTAAAAAATATGCAGCAAAAAATTTCAAAATGCAATAGTTATTGAGCTTATAATCGATACTAACACTTTGTCTTGAGAAATCGTCATAAAATATGCTTTCGATAGATATGCATAATGTATAGTGAATAAACGTGTATTTCGACGAATCATTTCGGTTTTTTTCTGCTTGAAACATCGAGCAAAAAATTTAAAAATAGGGTAATTAATTAGCCTTAAATTAGCTCTTCAATATGGATATATCAAATCAGTGAAAAATATAAGCCAGCAAAGCCACAGGTTTCTTTTAAAAAATATGTAGCCAAAAATTCCAAAATGGGATAGTCATCAAGCTTACAATCGATACTAACACTTTCCCTCATGAAATCGTCATAAAATATGCTTTTGATAGAAATACATAATGTACAGTGAATGACGCGTATTTCGACAAATTGTCTTGTATTTTTTCTGTTTGAAACGTGGAGCAAAAAATTCGAAAATAGGGTAATTAATTAGCCTAAAATTAGCCATTTGATCTAAATATATCAAATCGGTGGAAATTCTATGTTTTCAAAAATGGCTCTGCTGAGTTCGGCCGAAGCTAGCAAAGCCACAGATTTTTCTATGATAGAGAGGAGCAAGAAAATTGGGAATAGGGCTCGGAATAGGGTGATAAATTAGCCTAAAATGAGCACAACATTCTCACTATATCAGATCTTCAAAAAATATTGTTTTTCAAAAATGGCTTTGCTGAGTTCGGCCGAAGCTAGCAAAGCCACAGATTTTTCTATGATAGGGAGGAGCAAAAAATTCGGGAATGGGGTAATAAATTAGCCTAAAATGAGCCTAAAATTATGAGATGTGTCTCATGTTGAAAATCGAAAATGGCTCTGCTAGCTTCTTTAGTATCATAAAATTTAGTCATTTATAATAATAATAATTTGTCCCAAATACGGACATGTCCTCTCTTTTTCAATTAGGTTGGGATCCAAACATTAGGAGACAGTAAAATAGTTGATGATTTTATGGATTATAAATGGTAAAGTACCATTTGAGAACACAAATATATTTTTTTTAATGTTGTACCCCCTCATTATTGGAACCTTTTGATTCGACTGTAAAAGACTTGTAAGTATGCGGAAACACCGAGGGAAACACCAAATACATTCAGTTTCACTTTTTTTTTGCTCTTTCCAAATTTGTAAATGAGATTCTGAAATATTGATATACAGGGTGTTGTTTCGACCCTAAACCTACCTATTGATTTTTTCAAGGCCGGCCCTGAAATATGACTTTTTTTATTATGTCAATCGTCACCACTGTGGACAAAGAACAAACAAACCGAATATCAAAACAATGTATATGGTGGTTCATAAGTGATGATTGATTGAAAAAATGGGGGAAATCAATAAATCACCCTGTATCGTGGTTATAAAAAATGATAGACCCATGAAATATATATTATTTAGGAGTGCCCCGGTGTCCTCCATCTACCCTTACTGTATGCGCATTTCCCAATGAATCACTTTGTATAGGTATATTTGTCGTAAAATCAATGTTTACCAAGAAAAATCAGAACATCTTTAGAGTGTTGCCAATAATTGTTGAGGGTACACACGCTATCGTACCTAGCAGACTTTTGATGAGCTACCTTTCAGGACAACAATATACAGGGTGTATCTAAATAACACCGAAAAAATTCAATGGGTGATCCTTGTGATATTTCATGTGTCACAACTTGCTTCGTTTTTTTTATACATATTCCACTCATATTGACAATGATGCAATATCTCTTCAAATATACAGGGTATGGAAAAAATATATTTTTTTCAAATGGAATGCGCCGTATATTTTGATAGATTTGGATTCCTCAATTCTTCCTGATTTCAAATAAATATGATATAAGGGATTCATATCTAGCAAAATATACAGCGCATTCCATTTGAAAAGTATATATATTTTCTGAATTCCCTGTATATTTGGAGAGATATTGCAATACTGTCACTATGATTGGAACCTATATGAAAAATAATTGAATAAAATTTTTTTTATTTTTTTTATGGGTGGAAAACAAAAAAGATTAAGAGGGGTTCACATTAATAAAACTAGCCCTGTACCTACGTTGAAATTTGGAGTCAAATCGAATTTTTATTGTTTCTCCCGAGGTTTCCTCAAATACTAAGATTATAGATACAAAAATCGCCCAGGGGATATAAAAGTTGGTATTTCAATAATAGGTATAGTTCAATCTAATAAAAATATGATACTCAGAAAAACCACTGGCGTACAATGATATTCACCATAATATCGATAAATTTACCCACTGTGACGCTACTGGAAATATTATTTCGAATCTAATTGCATCAGAAGAAGCTCCATATTCCTATTAAATTAACAAAACCACGACGTTTTATTGAAATTGATGAAGAGATAATTCAGTAGGTAATGAATAAAAAAACGATTTTTCATGGAAATATTAATCTCGAGAACGAAACAAGTTAGGACACGTTTATATGAACTTTATTTTCTGAAATATAACAAGAAATCATCGCTTGAATTTTATCGGTGTTATTTAGATACACCCCGTATACCTGAAAACACTAAAACCTTTTGTATGAATTAGGTATTCCGCAGTTTGGCATTTTTTCCAACTAATTTCAGTGGACTAGAATATTCATAGAATATTCTGTGCTGTCTGGAGTAGTTTTCCGTGTATGCCACATTTTTCGAAGTTTTCATCAAGAATCACGATTGTTTTTATTTCCGGCAGCTACCGCGAGGTCCAGGGTCCAGGAGTCAGACCTCACATGGCCACCTTCCCCCTAGGAGGTAGGTACTACCCACCCCTGTTAAATTGTGAAAATAACCTAAAAGCTGAAGCTGAAGATCTGTAGCTGAAGCTTAACTTATAAGTACGTATAATCGGGTACTATAGGGCGAGTTATAGGGTAATTCGTTTTGTTCTAATAATAGAATTATAAATGACAAAATTTCGATGAATTTGCTCCAACTACATTATTTGAATGACAACAGAGACGAGCCCATCACTCCCATCAGTACCAGTAGGCTCTTCAAAAGATAAAAGGCCGTTTATAAAGGAATGGCGACCAAGTAAAATGTATCGTTCAGACTAGATTTACGATTTACGTGGGTCATGTAATGGCGTCGGATATAAGCAAATACAGGCCATCATGGAGATCAAAATGTACTTACTAGCTGTCTCGATTGTTGTCTCCTACTTTGTGATGAATTCCCCGACATTTTTCACGTGTTTTGCACGAAAAGTACGTAAATATCCACTAGATTTTCTCCAAAATGGAACACTCCACCACTACACAAAGCGCTATCCAAAGCGCAACTAAAAACGAGAAACACTGTTCCGTCAAGTGCCGACAAGGATTTTGTACACCATCTTCATTCGCACCGCTGGAAAACGCTCTGAACGTACGTTGTGACTTACTTCAGTTATTTCAACTTGTCATAATGCCGGGACTGGGACACCTCAAATTGTGAAATTGGTGGAACTCCTTTATACAGGGTGGTTGAGTGACCAGTGACACGTCATATACTAATTCCCAATATTAGCACTCTTCTTCTCTTCAATTTTGTATTAGTTTTTGTTGTAGCGTGTAGCAATTTTCAAGGGAATCAAGGGCGTAGGTACCCAGCGAGGAGAAGGGGGGCATGAACCAGAGCCGGACTGGGCCGCCGGGCGATTGGGCTTTCGTACGATGGCCTGGTTCATTTTTGGCTTGCTGGCCTGTTGGACCTTTATTTTCAACCCGATATTTGGTAGAAATTCGAAATTTAATAAAAACGCATGTGCTTTCATATAGGTACTGAGTGGCGTAACTAGAATTTTTTCGAGTCCAACGCAAAACAGATAAGGAGGTTTCCCCTTCTAGTTACAAATCACAAATAGTGGAGCTTTATTTTTCATTCATACCATTTCACATATAACTTTTGACAAAATATTCCTTCTCATCAAAGAAAAACAAATATCTGAACCAACTTTGAATCTCTTGGAAATAAAACCTTGGATGTTACTTGAAATCCAAACTAACTTATCAAACGCTGAAATGTTTGTTTAATCTATAGTTTCAATTCACAATGTCCTCCCTTATCGGAGAATGTCGATTGCTGTCCAAACGAATGAAGTGTCCCTAGGTTAATTTGAAAAAAAAATCACAATATGTTTTCACTTATTTGACTATTTGACTTCTGTTGTTTTTCAAACAATAAAGAATGAGTAAGTCCAACGAGTGGGTCCTCCAACCTCCAAGCTTCTCATATACATAGTAACTCACGATCGATGGTAGGTTTAGACGTATATGGAGAACGCAACGCAGGATTTTTCTGAAAATTTCGCATCTTATCGCATTTTATCAACTGTTCTATCGATCTAGAATATTTTCGAAATTACGACGTTGCCGTTTCTATCAAAAACTCCTAGCAACTTCATATGTTTCAAACAGAACAGCCCGTGTATTAATACATTTTTTGAATCGCCTTTTCATAGCAATACTCTTTTGTTGATAAATCCCTATACCTGTCTCTACCGGTTAATTATGGAGATAAAAAATAATTTGTGTTAAATATGATCCAAAACATATCCCTAATTGATTTTAAGTAAATCAGGGCTCTCAATTCACTAAGAGTTGATATTTCAGTGGTGGTTTGGACAGGCTTGATGTATTTAATTTACACCGAGAAATCGCCTCCATATCATACAGGGTGTGCTGAAAGTATAATTATATCCGTTGTTCATACAAGTGGTCAAAAGTTCATTTTTTCAAATGGAACCCCGCTGTGTTTTCTCATTAAATTGTAGGACGAAGAGAAGATGACATAGCATGTCCCTATACCTAAATCATCAAGTTTTCTTAATAAAGCCGCATTTTTTGAAAAATATAATTTTATGAAGAAGTTAATTTTATTTCTGACAGTGACATTATAAGCTTATATCGTCATAGTTACGATATCTATTATGAGGGTCATAACTCCCTTGGGATGTTATAGATGCTATAATTCCCTCTAACTAAAATTAAATAAGAAATGCATAGCAACAACCACGCAGTAACGTAGCAATAAGGAATCTCCTATTCGCGGTAGTCAAGATCATCATCTGACGTTCTGATGACATTGAAACTATACGGAAAAACATGTCTAACTTCCAATCGGGAAGGTATCTAATGAATGAAATCAGTCAGAAATAAAATTATCTATGTATCACGGGAATTACTGAGCCTCAATAACCTCAGGCAATTGCTGTCCCTCGGGCCAGAGGCCCTCGGGGCGCAAACTTTGCCATCGGTAATTAAGGCCCTCATAATTCCCTTGATACATAAATAACTATTATATAGCCATAGAAATATCAAACTCATGACAGTTCGGTGACATTAATGGATATATAATATTATCAAAGCCTCCTCACTCTCTGTGCTCTGTGGTATCTTCGTTTTTTATAAAAACCGTCTCAGTTGTAGAGTAGAGAGAAGAGTAGAGTTTTATTGACTACTTGATGTACATACATTCATACATTTATAGCAAGTCCTGAATGATTCCATTTTGGTGAAAAGAATGTAAAAAATGATAATTTACAATAAAAGACAAAAAATATACAATCAAAGACGAATAATATACAATCAAAAACAAAAACAAAATACACATTTCCGTTTCCCTCAAGAGTGGATGTTCGGCAAGTGTGTTCCTTGTATCAAAATTGTGGCAACTAACGTGACCCAGATATTCTGCAATCGAGTAAAAGCAATTTTTTTCAAAATAATCTTTCATAACTCTCTTGAAATAAAATATATTCATAGTTTTAATACTGGCAGGAAGAGCATTATATAATCTGAGATCATGAGAATTTTTTTGTGATTTGCTGAGTTTGTAACGCTGAGGTCTAATAAGATCACTGTTGCGTGTATTGTGAATATGCAAACTGGATTGCTTAGGAAGCAGGGGAGCTTTTTTGTGAATCTCTACTATACTCGTATATATGTGATTTATGAATGAATCACGACACGAATCTCTGTAACCGATTCCAACAAGAATTCTCAGAGCCTTTTTCTGTAATATGAAAATACATTGGGCATCACTAGAATTTCCCCATAGTAGAATCCCATAAGGAATATGAGATTGAATTAGTGAGCACAAAACTATTATCAATGTAGTGAAATTAGTTATAGGTTCAAGTTGTCGAAGTAAAAATAAAGCACTCGATAATTTACTATTTTCAAACCTAAAATGTGGCTGGACCAATTTAACCTATTATCCAAGGTGAAACCCAATAACTTAACAGTTTGGAACTCAGGTATTGGCTGAGCCGTAGATATCACCATGTTTTGTGATTTATCGTTATTCATCATAAGTTTATTAATACTAAGCCAATAGTTGGCTTTTCCTTGTATTTCGACAGATTGATCAGCAAGAGATGAAAGATTTTTTGAGGAGTAAATGAGGGATGTATCGTCAGCAAATAATACACTGTGACATGGTTTCATATAAATGTAGAGATCATTAATATAAATCACAAACAACAGCGGACCCAATACCGATCAATGAGGCACACCCAGGTTAATTGAATTCAGCTCAGAAAATTCATTGTTATAAAAAACTGCCTGGAAACGATTATTTAAATATGTTTTTATTAGTTCTAAAGTAATTCCTCTAACACCATAATTTGAAAGTTTTTCGAGTAATATGTTGTGGGAAACAGTCAAAAGCCTTAGATAGGTCCAATAGTGTAACTCCTACAACCTTTCCATTCTCAAGACCCTCAACTTCTCAACTATGCTTCCGACAACAGTCATAGCAGCATCGGTGGTTGAGCAATTCTCGTGAAAACCTAACTGATATATACCCATTCCTTAAACTGTGCTGATATCTACAAAAAAAAATTGTTGATTTCAAAATATTCGATGAGTCTATTCTTTATTAGCTTATTTTCTATAATTTTTGAAAAAATACTTATGATAGATATAGGCCTATAATTATCAACGAACTCTTCGTCCCTTTTTTGAGAAGAGGTATTATACTTTCGCATATTTGAAAATATCTGGAAATTTACTTGTCGGGAAAACTAAATTAATTAACATTGTTAATGGGGAAAGAATTATGTCCTGAGTTTCTTTTATGATTTTACTATTTATTCCATTGATATCAGGACAAGCTGAATTTTTCTATGAATTGATAATTTCCCGTACTTCGTCACACGTAACAGGAGTTAGAAAGAATGAAGATTCTGGAGAAGGAAAGTTTCGAAAATTCACCAACTCAGAAATTTGTAGATTGGGCATTGATTTAATAAAGTTGACAGCTACACTTGAAAAAATAGTTATTTGTTTAACTAGGCAGCAAAGTAGTAGATTGACTGCCGTGGCTAAATTCATAGCCGAGCGTAGCGAGGCTAGGAATCCAGCAAAGGCAGTCAATCTACTGTGCTGCCGAGTTGAACATATGATTTTTTCTCCGATTGTTCATAATGATATGGGAGAATATTGTGTTTGCGAATTAATACAATTCCCACAATCTCTTTATTCTTCCTGTATAGTGTTCAATTAAAATAAAATTTGATAGAAATCGCAGTTGTTGGTTTGACAATTCATGAAATTTCTGACAGTTGTGCGAAACAATATTGGTATATTCAAATTATTATATAATGGACAGTGATAGCGACCTGGAAGTATACTTACACCTCCATCAATAAGGGAGGTGGCAAAAAATATAGAGTTGAATTTGTTGCCGGAGAAGTCTCGGATGAAATATGAAGGAAATTATAAACGATTTATGGATTTTTAATTTTGCTGATACATATCAATCAGCAAAGTAACCACATTGCTGCCTAGGCAGGAAAAGTAATACTTTGCTGATTGATATGTGTCAGCAAAATTAATATTTGCTGCCAATCGGAGGAAAAATCATTGAATTCGTTTGAGGTCAAATTATCGGGATAACATTTTTGTTTGGTTTTGTTCCTATGAAAATTCACAATGTTCCAACTAGCCTTGGATTTATTTTCTGCTTCAACAATATATGAATCGATTGCAGCTTTTTTTGCATACTTGAGTTGCATATTGTAATGTTTCCTGAGAGTTTTAAAGTTATTTATATCTTTAGGAGCCTTTGTACTATCACAGATAGTTTTCAGAATTGCTAAAGTATCCCTTAGTTTCCTTAATTTGTCATTGAACCAAGAAACGGGTTGTAAATTAAAATTTGGTTTATTTAATTTCATCGAAAAAATGTCATCAATTAAATCGTTATAAGTTGTAATTAACAGAGAGGACAGAAAATCTACATCCAGGTTTGAATCAAAAATAGTCCAGTGAGCTTTGAGCAGAGAAGAGCGCATTTTG